AAATAAATAAATAAACAAACAAACAAACTCTGTAACTACTGTATCAGCCAAGTACTTTCAGACTGGGTTCAGCCACACAAACAACGGGCAACTTGTCTCAGGTTTTTTTTTCCTGTCATTTCCCTTGTTGCTGAGTTTTTTCCCACATGGCTAAAGAACTGGCATACCAATCTTTATCAAAATGTTTCCATAAACATCCCTTTGTACATATCAGTAGCTCTCAACCTCCAGTAACTCAGACGTTCTTAGATCAGAAGCCTTCACCACCAGCTGTGCCGGCTGCGGTTTCTGGGAGTTTCCAAGCATAGTTTGTTTATCCAAGATTGGAAACCACTAGTATAAGTGAACAAATCACTTTGTTTCGTGGTAAGGTATAGTGTGATGACCTAAACTGTAGGTGTTCTGCTTCCTGGGTTGACTCCTCTTCTCTCTCTTCCCAACCCATACAGTTGAATTTCCCATGCAGGTATAGTTTCAAAGACTAGTTAAAAGAGGGTGACTAACCCTCCAACAGATTGAACAGCCTGGAAGCATCTAGATTTCTCAGATCCCCTTCACTTGACATATACATGTTCCTCTTTCTTTGTCAGACCATGTCAGACTTATTTATTTTCTTATAGGTTGTGTTGGCCCTTTCCCCCTTATGTCATCATGATCCTACTACAGAGCAACACCAAGGCACATGATGCTTATTTTGCAGCAAAGGAACCAAGTTTATGATGTTTTCTACAGCCCATGCTAATGAAAACTATTTTTATTTTATTTATTTGTTCAATTTATATCCCGCCCATCTAGTAAATTATACCACTCTGGGCGGCTAAGCTCTCAACCACTTCATTTCCTTTTTCTCGTACCATGATCCTCCAAAAAACAGCAAGGTGAGAGTTAAAAAGGTAAACGAGCATGGGAGAATCAGACAGGTGCAGGGTAAATGAGAATAATGAACCCATCTAGGAGGATGAAGAACTAGCTGGCAAACAATGCTAGATCCAAAAGAAGGCATTATATTTTATTATATATGGAGAAGATCTGTGGTAGAAAACCCGTATCTAATTTCCACCTAAGAGAGATCAAATAAAGACAATCCGCCAAGTCTATAAATATCAGCATCCCTTACCTCTTATTTAAAAATTCATACAGGCTCAAAGGAGGGAAATTAGATATACTCTAGATGATGATGATAATAAATATAATTACAAAATTAGACAACGGCTTATAAAATTAAACACGACAGAGTGGCAAAACTAGTGCACTGGTCATTATGCAAAAAATATAACTTGTCAGCCTCTAAAAACCCATGGGAACATCACATAGAGAAGGTGTCAGAAAATAAGGAAGTCAAGATCTTGTGGGATTTCCAGATCCAAACAGATAGACACCTTGAACATAACACACCAGTCATAGTAGTAACAGAATGAAGAAATGTCTGGATCATTAACACTGCAATTCCGGGGGATGCCAGAGTTGAAAATAAAGAATTGGGAAAAAAAAAACTAACAAAGTACAGAGACCTGGGAATCAAAACATCTTGCCTCCGGGAGAAACACACTTCAGTAGTCCCTGTAGTCATTGGGGCTTTGGGAACATTATCAAGACACTTCACACAGTACTATAAGCAGTTGTCAGAAATAACATCAGAGCTAGGAAAAAAGGGCAATATTAGGAACAGCATACATTCTGCACTGATATTTAACACATACTTGTTAAAACTTGTATCTGTTCTATAACACCAGTCAATGTTTTTATAATTTTGA